GGCCTCAAGCTATGCATGACATCTGGCCGACACCCCGAAGCCAACGGTTTTGGGTGAGGAAATCAACCAGACTGTGTTCCAACTTTTCCGCGCTTTAATCATTCCGGATCAGGAAACATGGGATGAAGAGAGGTATTTCGTCAAGAGGTTGTACAACAACTTCATCCACTCTAACACTGACATGACACCAAACAGGCTGCATTACGGTTGGCTGATTCGTAATCCGCTCTCCTACCTATTCCATGAGCAGCCAACTGGTTTAACACCCGGCAGGCATGGCTTCATGGCCAAGTACGATCGCTTGCTCAAAGTTGTCGTTGCAGCAATGACCAAGCGACAACACGCCATGATCCAGCATGCAAACAAGAAGCGCCGACCTTCAAATATTGAGGTGGGAAGTTATGTCTGGGTCAAGATGTCTGAATTTTCAGAAGAAAGGGAGTCTCGCGTAAACTTCTCCCACTCTATTATGGTCCATGGGAAGTTCTGGATGTGATTGGCGAAGACAGCTCTGGCCCTTCATACGTAGTTGTTGTGCCACCTCATCTGCACACACATCCCGTGTTTCATGCATCAAAAGTGTTTCTCCACCGTGATGCTAAGTCATTCGATTACCGTGAAGACATGATTCCTCGTGCAATCAATGGCGGACATGAGATAAACAAAATTAAATAGCACGTAGGGAAGGGACGCAACAGGCAGTACCAGGTTCATTTCATGTACCGTCCGTTGGATGATCTCTACTGGATTTCTAAGTAGGAACTGCTGCGCAGCGCAACGGGTGACAAATCGCCTCTAATGATGCACCTAAGATCTCTGCCAAGCTCACTGCGACAGAGTACTCTCGAAATCTCTTTACCTTGTTTGCCTACGATGCATTTGTCGAGGACTCATAATAAGTTACTCGCTCGAAGGGACCTCGCTCTTGAGGGGGGAGTAGTGTGACAACCCGACCAAACATGGACTGAAACACACGGCTGATTTTTTTGTTTTGCTCATGGACTGAATGCCTTGCTGATTTTTCCGCTTGCTACTAAGTCTGTGTGTGTGCACGCTTGTTGCACTACATGTCCGTCTGAGTGCTGGTTGGCTTGAGTGTGTGTGTGGCCCGGAAGGGCACTTGTTCGTTCGTTGGGCCCTCAGGGCCGGTACTTACCGTGGCCGTGGCATTGAGGATTGCAGAGAGGGAAAACACTCAAGTGGCGGGGAAAGAGGTCCACACACCCTGAAGCGGTAGATGTGCCGGGTACTGGAGGCCGAGCAGAAGAAGACAAAAGTGGCACTTTTAGAGGCCCAGTAGTTGTAGGCTAGGTCTAGGCAGGTACTAGTTTGATTCTAGGGCCTATACGGGCAATATCAGAGTCTGCAATAATGTTTCCCTCCGAAAGGGAGGAGGTACCGGTTGCTTGGGAGGCCGAGCGGCATGGAAGTCACCTCCCGAGAGGCAAGCAGGCCGCTATATCTCCAAGTCGGGCGAAGAGCCCAGCCTCATTGTCGGGGTGCAAGTTACACTGGTTGGAGCGCTGGCTGGAGCAGCGCTAGCTTGGAGCAGCGCTGCTGGGGAAGAAGCAAGGACTTGGAGGAAGAAAAAGGACAGGAAGGGGGGAGGAGCGCCAGAGGTACTTACCTGACTATGAAACGGTTTTCACCTCTTAGCAATAGCAGATGCAGTACCCAGGGTTCGATCCCTAGACCTCGTCCTACCCATGTACAGTACCGGTGTAGACCCCGAGAGTTGAACCTGTGACCTGTATATTCGTAGACAGTTGGTAGGTATGTCATAGGTCCATAGGTAGCAGGGGTTCGATCTGTAGGTCTGTAGAGTAAAAGTCTTAGTGAGTTCCACAAGTCTAGTTGTAGTCCTTCTAGAAGGTCGTCAAGTGGGCAAGTGGTCAAGTGGCGAGTCAAGTGGTGGACTAAACTGCAGTGCAATTGCAGTACGACTACGGTAGGTTAGCAGTGAGTCCACAGTCAGTCAACGGTAAGGTCCAGTCAGTCCCAGTCTGGTCCAGAAAGTACCACGGGGGACTGTGAGCACCATGGGCCGATGGCAAAGGGCAGACCAACGAGCTTCCGAAGTATAAATCAGGAGGCAGCGTGCGGAAGCGCTGCCACAGTGACTTGTGCAAGGAGGTCTGCAGTGAGCCCGGAGGACGCAGTGGGTGAGAGAGGAGGAGCTTAGTATAGCGATAGGGTAGAGGCAGCCATAGCTGCCATAGATATAGTCAGTGTGAAGTGTGTGTGAGTATGTGTGAGTGTTCAGAGTGACGCGTGTGGGATATCCAGGGTGATCCGGTGTATGTGAACAGTGAGTTGTTTGGGCGCTGAGTCGCCATAGCCAGTTGACAGTGAACTCATATCTGGATGCTATATCTCTGAGTTTTGAGTGGGCGCATGTCGCCAGTTTGCTGCGCTGCTGTTTACATGCATGAAAAGTGTGAAAAGGAACGAGTTTGATTGCAGCTATGGTGGCAGCCATCTTCATCACCTTGGCGGGCGCTGCAGCAGGGAGACCCCAGCTGGGAGAGCTACACAAAGAAGCTTCGAGGCAGAGTCAGGCATGGCGGCCTGAGCTAGAGCAGACATAGCTGCTTTGCGTTGTCCTTTGCACAGCAGGGCAAGGCCCAAGTAGTCCGCCATAGCCTCGACCTATGAGAGTGAAGAGTGAGGGAGGCGGCTATGGCTAGTGTTACATGCTGCGCCTGCACAGGAGGGCCATTTTCCAGGCCCTGCGTCGTTCAGGCTGGAAGCCTGAATTTCGGGCTCAAGGCCTGGAAATAAGGGTCTGCAAACCCCATGACGGTTCACCCCAAAAGCCTGACATCCGGGGCCCACAGGCCCTGCATCGTTTCAGCCAAAAAAGGCCTGAGCCTTTTCAGCCTGAAACTGAGGGTTATTTCCGGGCCTACAGACCCCATGACGGTTCAGCCCAAAAGCCTGACATCCGGGGCCCACAGGCCCTGCATCGTTTCAGCCAAAAAAGGCCTGAGCCTTTTCAGCCTGAAACTGAGGGCTATTTTCGGGCCTACAGGCCCCATGATGGTTCAGCCCAAAAGCCTGACATCCGGGGCCCACAGTCCCTGCATCGTTTCAGCCTGAAAAAAGGCCTGAGCCTTTTTAGCCTGAAACCGAGGGCTATTCTCGGACCCTCGTCAGACCAACCTGCCCTGATACAAGCACATTCGGGCATTGGCAGGAGTGACCTGCCCTGAAGCTTCCTCAAGGGCTAGCACGTGCAGGCATTGGCAAGATCAGCCTCCTGGACGGGCCAGCACTATATAAGACTGGCCCGCCCTACAGGTTGGGACAGACGAGAGGAGACTGTCCACGCACTCAACGTGCACTTCTACAAGAGGCAGTAGTCTTCAGGATTCGACTGCAATAGTAGAGTAGCGTTAGCAGTAGTCTTCAGCGCTGGGCGCTAGTAGCAGTAGACCAGAGTAGTGGAGAGAGGAGGCTGGCGGAGGCCAGGGATGCTTACCTGTGGCGCCATAGCTCCATCTTCGTCTTCGAGGTACCTGCAGCAGAGCGCCACTCACCGAGTGACTTACCTGAGGCGCCATAGCTCCAGCTCGCCAGCGAGGTACCTGCAGTACAACGCCACCATCACCGGTTAGTACCTGGCATCCAAAAGAGAGAGAGAGAGTTCTTCCTCTTCCTCCTCTCAGTCCACCATCTCTCTCCTACCCTCTCACTATCTGACTTCACTGCTTCGGCAGCCTACGAGAGTGAGAGTGGTTTACTTGCAGGGCTACAGGTGGGGGTTGTCACGGGCATTGGCCCAGGATCTGGTTCGACATTTTTGGGCAGACATTTGGTTGGACTTCGGCAAGGGACTATTTTGAACTTCGCTGTTGCGATCTTAGTCTTCTCCCTTGCCTCCATCTTCGTCCTTCCTTCCCCCCTCCATCTCTCATCCGTGGTATCTCCCCATGTGCGTGTATGCAGGAGGGACCTTCGTCTATGTATGCGGTCCCTTCCCTCCCTCTCACATGTGTGATGTATGATGGGATGTCGTAACAGTCCAGGTCAGGTCAGGACTTATCTCCCAGTCTTCCGCTGTGCTATTAAATGCCATTGTTCATGATCGGGATGTACACTGTCTGTTGATATTACGTTAGCAGTCCACTGTCCATTCAGTCCTTTTCATCACAATGCGGATCCTTGGCCGAACTCTCAGTGCCCGAAATTCAACATTGTATTATTATTTCTTGTGTGAATAAGAGAGGAGGAGATACGGAGGAAGAGAGAGTTGGGCGAAGAAGAAGCGCTTTGTCATTTGTCTATGCTGGTGTACATCATCTTCTTCTTCTTTCTGACTTCTTCTTCTTCTTCTAACCTTCTCTCTCCTCTCAAGTTCATTCATTTCTTTCTGCAATTGGACGGCATTGTACTATCTGATGAATGTGTATCNCTTCTTCTTCTTCTTCTAACCTTCTCTCTCCTCTCAAGTTCATTCATTTCTTTCTGCAATTGGACGGCATTGTACTATCTGATGAATGTGTATCTTGAAATTGGCCACGATCATAACACCTAGACCGTTGACGTTCCAGCAAAGTATTTGGATGCCACCGTTACTTCTAACGTTGTGTACATATTAAATAAATAAAGGATGTATAATTAGGCTTTACTCTCACAGCTAATACATCTTTGTACATACAAAATCACAGCGCGCAACCATCACTCGTTTATAACCGTAACCGAAAACCCACACAATGCACCCGCTCAAGCAGAATGGTATCAGCACACAAGCACAGTCCCAAGCCTATTACCGTCTTGCACGGAACACAGCACACCCTGATTTTGAATGTATACAAGCTATCTTTCCGGTTCCATACAATCGTGATCAGGGTGGGTTATCTTTCAATTGAGGGAAGACGGTGGCCATACTGATCCACCTTAACAAGGGCTATCGAGCGCGTGCCCCGGTTATAGTGTTTGCTGCTAAGTGTTTGGGTGCTTGTGCGTGTTTCTTCTGTTTGTGGCCTACTTCCTTGCAGCTGGTCGAAGCACTTGGAGGGAAATCTGCTGACACTGATGTGTCTCTTATCAGCACTGCAAATGGTCTAGGAAGGATAATTACTGGGTATGTGTATTTGTTAACTGTCAACCTACTGTCTTTGAGGGGGTAGGTGGACCATTAACATTCTTGAATCTATCCGGATTTGAACTCTGGATGTCTATTTTGACAGTTACATGTGTGTATCTTTCAGCCAAAAACATTCTTTGACTTGAACTCTTCATCTCGGACCATCTGTTCTCAACCGTTATACGGTTGTATCATTCAGCCACAGGGCATGTACTCCCCGTCAACATGTTTGCAACTTTGCACCAGTCGCCACAGGACACGTACTCCGGGTCAACCTATTCTCTTCTTTACTGCACTCTTTTGTTTATCTGTGCTTTCTCTTCTTATAGAGGTTCAAAACTTCAGCGGTTTTTTAATTTTATTTATAAGAAAACCTGAAGCCCTTTTTAACCAAAAATTGCATCATTCCATAGAGTGAACACCATATTAACAAACCACCAACAAAAACACTTCAGAACATTGAGAAATGGTTACCAGACCTGTGTTAAAATCCGGGCCGCCCGGCGGCCCAGCCTTCGTCCGGCAGGGGTCCCGGGCGCCCCGGCCGTTTGGGTCCCCCGGTTTGGCAGGGCCAGCGCAATTTCGCGTGGGGGGGGGGAGGCCTTTTTCGGCCAGTGGCAGCCTCCCCGGCCCCCAGGAGGACTTCGAAACTTCACATTTCCATTTTCGGAGGAAGGTCAGGCGGCGGGAAGGCCTTCGTCGTAAGTTCCTCGTGTTTTCGGACTACGTCGCGATCAGCCGCCAACAAATGACCTTGTTCCCCCCCTCTGGTCGCCTAGGACGCCGCATTCGAATTCGAACACGGTATTCCCCACTTTGCTGCCGTCACGAAGCCCGCCCGCTGTTGCTTCCGTCTCAAAGCCCGCCCGTCGTCGCCGCTGCTCGCCGTCTCGAAGCCCGCCCGTCTTCGTCGAGCGTCGAGCTGCCGTCGTCGCTCCGCGCCGAGCAGCCCTCCCCATCTTCGCTGCCCGTCAAGCCGCTGTCGCCATCGTGGTGAATCCGCGTCCACCTCCTTCGTTCCTCTTCTTCTCCTTCTTCCCTCCTTTCGTCTTCTTCTCCTCTCCTCCGCCTCCTTTCCTCCTTTTCTCCTCCTCCTCCTCCTCCTCCTTTTGTCTTCTTCTCTCCTCCTCGTCCTCCTCCTCCTCCTCCCTTCGTCTTCTTCTCTCCCCCTCCTTTCTCCTCCTCCTCCCTATTTCATTGGTTTTCTTTAGTAGGCGAAGTGCCACGTGCAACAGCGGTGCGCTGAGAACTGCTGCGTGTTGGGATTCCTCTCTCTCTCTCTCTCTCTCCTCCTCCTTCCTCGTCGTGTTTTTTTTTTTTTTTTCGTCATCACCATACAAAACCTGCAGGTCCTCCTCCTCGTCCTCCTCACCTCCTCCTCTTGTCTTCTTTTTCTTCTCTCCTCCTTCTCCTCCTCCTTTCTTCTCTCCTCCTCCTCCTCTTCCTCCTGCTCCTCCTCCCTTCGTCTTCTTCTCTCCTCCTCCTCCCTATTTCATTGGTTTTCTTAGTAGGCCAAGTGTCACGTGGCAACAGCAGTGCGCTGAGAACTGCCACGTGTCGGGATTCCTCTCTCTCTCTCTCTCTCTCTCTCTCTCTCTCTCCCCTCCTCCTCCTCCTTCCTCGTCCTGTTTTTTTTTCCTCGTCATCACCATACAAAACCTGCTGGTCCTCCTCCTCGTCCTCCTCTCCTCCTCCTCTTGTCTTCTTTTTCTTCTCTCCTCCTCCTCCTCCTCCTCCTCCTCCTCTTGCTCCTCCTCCCTTCGTCTTCTTCTCTCCTCCTCCCTATTTCATTGGTTTTCTTTAGTAGGCCAAGTGCCACGTGGCAACAGCAGTGCGCTGAGAACTGCCACGTGTCGGGATTCCTCTCTCTCTCTCTCTCTCTCTCCCCTTCTTTTTCTTTCCTCCTCCTCCTCCTCCTCCTTCCTCGTCTTTTTTTTTTTTTTT